AGATCGTCAAACAATTTGGATTTTCAAGATTCTTACAAATCTTGTCCTTTTTAGTCCTTAAGTACGACAAAAGGCTTCTCTTGGATTCTACGAGGACAGCACGAGATTTCTTTGTCAAGCACTAAGGGGGTACATCTGTTACTTTCCAAGATTGTATCGTTTTTTTTAAAGAACGAGACCTTTTTACTTTTCCTTCTTATATGAATGAACTTATATTTTTAAGAACCTAAAAAAACTGTCTCAATAAAAAAAAGAAAATACAAAGACTGAGATTATCTGCCAAGATTGAACGCAAAGAAAAACAAATTCGTGAAAATTTGTTTTTTTTTTTGACACCGAAAAAAAAAGTTCGTTCTATTTTTCTTTTTTTCTTTTTTAATCTCATGTCAGGCAAACCATTATAATTATTTTAAAATGCACGTAAAAATGGTTCCTTTCTGAAAAGCTTTCCTCCTCTCAGCGTTCTCGATCGGAACGATTAAAAAAGCCTCGTTGAACGTTCTTTCGTGAGAACGGAGGATTTTATTTTTCCAGCTTGTAGTGCTACACCATATTTATGCATAAAAATAACGCCGATATTAATTGAGCTGACAGGTGGATGTGTGCGTGCACGCGAACGCCCACGTGTTCGCAAAACGCTTTTCTGATAAAACTTTGAGGAAGCATCGCACCGTATTATTTCATCATCCCTCTCCATTATATAAGCACGATGAAAGCGTATCTCGTTCAATCGACACCAGTTTTTCCGCGATCATAACGCGACGCGTTAACGAAACGTTAACTGCTCGTCATTGTACGGCAGACAATTTGTATTAGCGTTCTTTTCCGGCGCTGCTTCAAATCATTACGTTTCTATCAAACTTCATTACACTTTTTCCTTTTCTCTCTTTCTCATTTATTTTTTAATTTCTTTTTCTTTTCCCCACCCGCGAACAATAGATCATTTATCGTAGAAAAATTAATTATTATTTTCGGTCGCGAAAAGAGACGTTCAATTGAGCCTAATTAAAAACTGCCACCTTTTTTCTTTTATTATTATTATTACGAAATTCTTTAGCAATAAACAGTCGTAATTTATTCATTGGTGTTACTTTATGACCAATTAAACGTAAATGTTGTTTAACCTTCAATTAGAGTTACGTAAATGATGTTAAAATCTAAGGTCCGTCGATTAACTTCTAATAAGCAGACGCCAAAATTATCAATAATTTAGTTATTGTTAAATTAAGTATCATTCATTCGCAAGGTAAATATCACAAATGCAATAAATTACATACAAATAAAAATTGCAACTTCACCGATCGTAAAATATTAAAGAATAAATAATAATACAATTATTACTAAGTTTATTCTTAGGGAAGTTGTTTTTTTTGGACGGGTTTAATTAAGATGAACACAATATTTATCCGTTGAACGTTTCGTCTCTATTTGAGACTTCCTCAGCAACTTGATAGTTATGTTCATAAGTCAATATAACATCATTTTTATTACAGTCATAAGTTTTCACTATCTTATAAATAGAGTCAATTTTTAAGAACGTTATTCTACTATAACTTTTCGAACACTACTGTGTAAGAGTAAACTTAGTAATAATATTAATAAATTTTGGATAAGAAAAAAATCTTGATTATATTAACATTAATAATACAATGTTTTTCTGATAGAATATAACGAAACTTTTCATTTTTGTTGCACTATAGAAGATCAATTATAATTTATCAGACACGGACACTTAATACTTCAAGTTTTTAAATAACCGTCGGATGTTGTAAAGATCTGGCAAATTCGTTCTTCTTCTTTCGACTATTCAAATTAATGGTTAATTCAATTAATATTCACAATCTATATCACGAATTTTTTATTCTGACGTTACTCGATAAGACAGATCAAACTGTCAAAGTAACACATAATTATTTATTTATTTTTCTTCTTAAAAACAAAAAAAATCAGCTATACGTTTGCCAGTTGTACGAGATGTCTACTCGTTTAAAATAAAATAATAGAATACAACTAAAGTACTCGTATAAGCATTGACAAAATTTGAAGTCAACATGTATATTCATATTACTTCAAACGTTGTTGAAGTCGGATGTTTATTTGTTCCCTTCTAATCTTTCTATTTTGAATCTTAAGGTACTCTTAATTTTTGTGCATTTTATAAAATAGCTAAAACGTGTAGTGAATGTGGCACTAAGGTCGCTAAAACAATTATTTGCAAATTGAAAAATGATATTAATGTTATTACGAGTCATATTTCAACTATCCAGAACAAAATGCAGGATTTAAATCAACATTCGAAGAAATCTATTGCTGCGGAGTAAATTATTGATGAAATAATTGAATGAGAGAAAAAAATGGATAATATTTTATTATTTAATCTAGAAGAAAACGACTCATCTCCATCGTCTAACTCAGATATCTCTGTGAATGTTTTGGTTAAAGATATTTTATCTAAAATTAATCCATCTGCACATCTAGTTTCTCCTCCTACCAAAATAGATAGGAAGTGTCCTAACCGAATTCGTCTTGTGCGTATTTTTCTTGCTTCAAAACATGAAGTTCTTACTGTTTTGAAAAATAAATTTAAATATCGTGGTCCTGTTCACATCAGTCAGGACCGTACCAAAGCACAACGAGATCATTTAAAATCATTACAGAGTAAACTTAAGTAGTTAACTGAAAGTGATATATCTAAGAAGACTCTATTAGATTAAAAAATAGTATATCTAGAATTATAAATAAATAATAAATTGTCTCTAAACGTGTGTCTAATGTCATACAATGCATTTTAGTCGTAAAAATGAATATCTTCCGTTTAATTATTGTATAAACTCATCTATGTTATTCTCGCTTGACTCTGTTAATGACTTAAGTATTATATTCTCGTTTGATCTTTCTTTTAAATCACATTTAATAGAATATCTCAATCTGTAAATTATTTTCATCGGCACTGTGGTTTATCCCGTAAATAAATAAATAAAGAAATAAATATTAATAGGACATTCTTATGAGATAAAGATACTTGTCGTCAAAATTTGCTGCTTATAAAAACTCAATTCTTTCTCGTTTTTAAAATAAATCCTTCTTTTTAAATGTTTTCCTAACTATCCTAAATATAATCAAACTCTTCGAGAAAATTAAAGTTGAAAAATAATTATATAATTTACGATAACGTACATTTAACTGCAATATCTCGATGCAGCAATCTATTAAAAGAAGAGAATAGAAAAAGTGTAATCAGGTGTGTTTGCTTGTAATCCTTGCACTCAACATGATCCAAAGTAAAACTTAAACAATACTCGGATGCGTGTTTTCTTTATACTTTAACTCGTAAATAGTACGATGATCGCTCAAAAAGAGAGACAAACGTACCGTGTCGAGAATGGCCGTGGTCAGGCCGGATCCAGTCAACAGCTAAAAGCACTATCCTCGTGCGGCGTGAGCTCCGCTTGATTCTCTCCTTCTCACTTGCCACTTTTCCTTCAGCAACTATCTCTCTCTCTCTCTCTCTCTCTCTCTCTCTTTCTCTCTTTCTCTCTTTCTCTTTCTCTCTTGGGTGCTCCTTTTCTCTTGGTTCTTTTTTCAAGAATGTTAGGGACGAAATGTCAGATAAGAGGAAGAAAAATCAAGTTTGACCACCCTCCACGTATTTAAATATTCTTGTCTTGCCCGTTTTAATACTTGTCGTATATATAACGCGACAAATATATTATTCTTACTTTCACTGATCACCAAATAATAATATAATAATAATAATAATACATATTATATTATATTGCACAGTTTTTCTCTTTTTTTTTTTCTTAGTACCAAATAACCAAACACTTTTTGTCCCGTTAAATCGCGTTCGCGAGTAATTGCGATAACTGTCGATTCGATACGAGAGGAGATAACGAAGACAAATCCGTGAAAGTGTTAATTCGGGCACGATCCTTTTCGCGCACGAGGCACGACAGGACGAGGACGTTAAACGGTGGACCGACGAATTCGGAATTGATGCTGCACGAACGAACGAACGAACTCTTAGGTGTCCTCGAACGATATCCCTTTTGCTCTAGACGATATTTTCTCCCTCTCTTGATATCTCTTTCTTTCTTTCTTTCTCTCTCTCTCTTTCTTTCTTTCCCTTTTTATCTTTTTGCCTTTCAATTATCTGACTCTCTCTTTTTGTCTCCCCCCCGCGACGTGACGTCGGCCGTCTTGATTTTTATCGTCGTTTATCGCGCCTGGTTGGTCAGGAGATAAGCACGAGGACGACTCGGCGCGACTTTCTTTTGACACGGTGACGAAGAGAGTAGAAGATGAAGAAGAAGAAGAAGAAGCGAAACAAGAAGAAGAAGAAGAAGAAGAAGAAGATGATGATGGTGATGATGAAAAAGATGAAGACGAAGTAGAGGAAGAGAAGAAGAAGAAGAAGAAGAAGAAGAAGAAGAGGAGGAGGAAGAAGAAGAAGAAGAAGAAGAAGAAGAAGAAGAAGCACGTGCGACTTGAAAACGGGGGTGCAGTGACGCGTCGCTGCTACGGTGCGCGGCGCCCGATTGACCACCAGAGTCTGCCTTCCCTTCATGCGGAGATGCCTGCTGTACGATTTTGGCGTCCCCCACCCCTATGCCTATACCGCTCCCGCGTCCTGTGTACCCCTTCTCTGAATCCTTCTAGGTGCCCCTTCCAACTGGCTCAGAGACTCGTCGCCTTTGCCTTTGCCGCACGAGAAGAGAACGAGAATGACGAAACGATGGAGAGTGCGAGAAAGAGAGAGAGAGAGAGAGAGAGAGTGAGAGAGAGAGAGAGAGAGTGATAGACTGTGAGAGAATGAAGAGAAGAGAAAGAGGAAAGAGAGAGAAAGAACGAGAATTTGTGGAAAGGAACGCGTGTCTGGACCAATAGGCGGGGCCTAAATCTACTGTGGGCGTGGCCGGCTATCCCCCCGCGACTTATCATCGTATGAACGATCGTTAAATGTAACAAGAGTGGGGATTGTCGTGAGTGAATGACGCCCCGTAGCTTAAAATAACAGCGAAGGACGACGCAACGACACGCAGCGCCAGGGCGATATAGACAGGGGTGACGTTGGGCGTCGTTCCGTCGTAGGCGGTCGCTCGTACCCCTATTGGCCCGCACCCAGGGACGCCATTGTTCTCGTCCTTTCGCGCCTCTCGACTAACCCGCGAGAGACGCACGCCGACGCCCGGCGTCGCGACGCCACTCTCGCACGCAACGCCGTCGTCGCGCGGCCCTCGTTCGACTGTCGCTCTTCTTCCGTTTCTTATTCTTTTCTTTCCATCTCTCTTTTTCTTTTCTTCTCTTCCTTTCTATTCGTCCATCCGTCCGTCCGTCCGTTCGTTCGCCATCCATCTATCCATCCATCCATCCATCCATCCATCTATCCACCCTTAAATCGTGCATAAGGTAAGTCGAATTTGTTCGTATCCTTTTACCACCATAATCCGCGTCCCGCGTCCGTTATTCTCCGTTTATCGTATCGAACATCGTCGCTGCCGCCGACGGCTCGGACCGTTTTCTTATCTTTTAAAACTCTCTTATCCGATTCTCTTATTCCCATCTCATATCTGCGATTTCGTGCCGGTTTATTAAAGACAGTGCTGAATCGTGGCTCCGAGCGATATCGACTCCGGTGGATGCTGTCAGATGATGATGGCTATTCGAAATAGAAGATGGTGCTTTATGTTTCTAGTGTCTCAATAACATCGTTAAGATTAGACGGGGATTCGCTAGTGATATCTTTATTCGGGATTACTTTTCTCTTGTTCTAGGAATGAAACTATAATAATGGTAGAGATTATATATTTTTCATGTGCAATAATATTTATAGTATTCTTACTCGTTGAGTTCTTCCGTAGGAGTCGTATGAATTACACGATTGTCCGGTCTCATAATCTCGGTAAACATCTGCTCACTCGTTTTTTATTTAACCTGTTTTTCTAGACAGTCTTCTTATTTACTATTGTAAATGATTGTGGATCGATCGCGCAACAAAAACCTTGGAAACGACATTTATGTCTACGTAAGAAGAAATATTGATAGTAAAATAACGTAGGTATTCGTGTTGCCTCTAGTTTAACCAGGAAGCAGATCCTTTGTACTTTGATGTACGCGGTTTCCATCGACGTATAAGTAAGATCAAAGCGAAACTTACGGAATGTTGTATCTATCGTATCATTCCACAATTTTTATGAGCTAAAAAGAAACATCGGTGATATTTCGTACAACATATTTTAAATAATTCAGTTCGGTGAGACAATTTTCCATTAATACGAATTTCAATTACAATTGTATTAAATTAATTATTAAAACGATGAAAAAATTGTTGCTTTTGGTAAATGTTCAATACGAACAAGAAGATATGCTCTCATTAAAAAAAAATTATATTTCATTAATCGAATCTTTCCCTAATTTTTTTCCATTCATTTATCGTTCTGATCTAATCATCTTAATCATTAATCTATATCTACTAAAAGCTTAGGCTTGTTTTTTTTTGTTTGTGCATAAGAAACTATATATCCAATTCAAAATGGTGGAATTCAGAGAGTGGGTCGCGTCGAACGTCGGACGTTACGTCCTATCAAATACAGGTTTTTGGATTAGGCCAAGTCCTGTTTCGTCATTGGACTAGTATCTCTCGATTTTGTTCTTTTATAGTGACATGTCTACTAACCATCCCTCCTAAATTCGGTCCCTAAATTCTTCTATTGAATTGTAAATCAAAGACCGACGGTTGCACAATCGGTCATCGTTTTATTTCACGATTATTTTACTTTAAATAATTCTCTTCAAGGATTATAATAAATTATTTCGATATTGAATAATCCTTTGAAATGTTTAATTACATTGTTATTTACATTTACATAAAATATCTATAGTGTTGTGCCTAATTTAAGCTCGAATCTTTAGCAATCTCGATTTAAAAAAAGGAAAGTACACTTTTCAATATGTTTCTCTACTCTCGCGTACGTGGCTAACCCTTGCGTATTGTACCACCTCTTTAATTGCTAGCAACGAAAGAGGATTCAAAGAATAAAAGAAAGAGAGTGCGAGAGAGAGAGAGAGTGCGAGAGAAGAGAACGAAGCAGCCTGGAGGCATCCTCGCTCAAAATAAATACTACAAGGCCAACGTCCCTTTGCCCGCTTCGATGGAACAGGTGGCTCCAATTAAACTCCAATTACCTGTGTATCTAGTTCTTATTTGTCCTAGTAGCAATCGGGATACAGCTTTCGAATATTCCTATGGGAGAGCTTGAGTCTCTGTACAATCGGGCCGCCTATTTAAAGAATCGCCACATTAGATGAGACAAAAATATTATTCAGAATGGACAAAAAGTCGATATGAATATAACGAATTATAGTGTTCCATTGCATGTTCATATTCCTTTTCCTTTGTCCGTCCATTCCACGTATCTAAAAGAGAACGAGTGGAGATTACATTTATTATCTTTTTTTGTATATAATAACACGCTACTTTCTTCTTCTTCTTCTTCTTTAATAATCAATTGAAAATCCTTTTTTTTTTTTTTAGTCAACACGTATACAAATTAAGTTGAAAAAGGTGATAACGAATGCGCGCGCGCGCGCGCGAGTGGACTCTTTAACGAGAAAATGTTACGTATAGTGAGACCATTCCATTGTTTACATTTAGACTGAATATTCACACGAAAGAGCGGGGACCTCGTGGCAGGACATCGAAGCTTACCATCAAGGGCAAACGATCTCACTACCAACACTAAATACTATAGAGTCGCTCGAGCGTGCAATAAACCATTCATCCGTGTCTAATCGATTCCGAAACACGTAAATCCATGGTCTGGGACCGTCGTCGACTATATCCTATGCATTTTTCAAATATTCGAACGTGTAGGTATTAAAATACTTCATAGATAATCCTTGTTTCGTACGTATGACGAAAAGATTCGAACGATTCTGTTACGAGAGAAATCATTTGGACTAATTGCAAAATTATTTTTTTTCTTTATATCTTATGTTAATTCTGTCGATAATAATGTTAATTGATTTTTTTTTTTTAAAGAAAAAATCAATTGAGAAAAGAAAGAGTATATTTGAAAAAGGAAAAAAAACGAAAGCGTGACAGTTGATTGTGAAATAGGCTGATTGAATATCTAAAACGAAAGAAAACAAAAAATAAATAGAAATAAAAATATAAAATATGATAGTAAATAAGTAATACGGGGATAAATATATCTACTTAGTTAATTACATCCGGACATTTGAGCGATACTTCTTATTTATGTCAACCCCGATCTTCCCTTCAGCACGAGTAGCCTACTTTAGAAGGGAGGTTCATTTTATTGGACGAAGTGAACCGCGTCGATCTAAAAACCACCGCGACGTGATCGCTGGATGGTGGTTTACTTTTAACTTTTCTGTCTCTCTGCGAAAATATTAATAACATATCTACGATGATGAAAAAGATAATTACGTTTATTAAAAAGTGTAATAGAGTTATCTAAAAAAAAAAATCGTATATGAAAGTTAAACACGTAAGAATACAAAAAATACGTCGTATCGTATTCTAAACGTTAAAATAACATAGGCGAGATATTTTCTCGAATAAAAATAAAAACGTAAGATTAATATTATTTAATCGTTGTGTTATAAAAAAGAAAAAGAAAAACGAAAATATAGACGGTAGCCGAATACTTTTGATAAAATTGAAACGTTTAAAAGTTTGTTGACACACCATCTTGTGCGTGTGCGATATTTTCGCTTATTAATAATCGTGAGTAGTGCTATATAGATATAGGTGATAAGTAACAGCAATCATATCTTTGTCAGAGGTCTATAGCTGACTCTTTCGTCACGGCTCTCATGTATCCTTCGGCTTATCCACCATGTACAATTGGATTTATCAAGTTAGAGCTGAAACGTAGCGAACCCGATGTATTTCCTGTTCGACTCTGGCGTACAACACGAACGAGTGTCGGATGAGCCTACCAAATACGACGAAACGACGTATAGTACCAATGTAACGATGAATCTCGTCGAACGAATCATCTCAAATTGAATGGCCTGTACATATTTATTTTTTCTTTTCGATTTCTATTGTCATTGGATATCTTAATTGATTATTCTAAACCTTTTTTATTCTATACTTAATACTTACATCATTTTAATCTGTATAAAATGGATTGAGATAAAATGGTAAAACATATCCACACGATACATTTGGAAATGTATATTTAAAAAAAAAAATAAAAAAAAATGAAAAATATATATATATATAATGCGCTTTGAAAGAGAGACAGTCCTTCAAAAACGCATATACCCATCGTTGTTACCCGGAAAAGGCCGATTAATTCGCAAAAGCACGCGCAACGTATTTTCTGCGATAACGTTTAACAGTTTATCGAATAAAGTGATACGGATATATATCGGTCGACCAATCGAGATGGGTTTCATATTCACCGCCAATATTTGAACGTTTAATGCGCGTGTAACACGTCCAAAACCCGCATTTATTGTTGGCAAGCATTTTCGTTCAAAGCATTTACAATTCCACTTTATTGCCTTTCGGCTTATCCGGGATTGTGCAAGTGCATTTACGAGTCGCGTTTCATTCTGATAATTGCCATTAAGTTAACGAACTGCAATATGGATATTCGAACGCGATCGTGGAATATTCCGATTAACGTACGTAAATAAGATTACCTAGCACCGAACAACAGATTATTATACATTTCGTAAATGTTACACGTATTATTTGAAAATAAGACAATAAAGGAGCTATTGAATCATAGGAGCGAATATTTCGTTTCAATTATGATGATTCATGATTTTATGTTAAAAACGTTAAATCAGTTCAAATCGTATGACATTTTCGAGAATAGTATCAATAAAATATTCAATATATAACTTATTCATTTAATAATTGTTTGAGAACTACCCTCCTATATCAATATAAAACTTAAATCCTCTACCTAGAAACAAATTAATTTTATATTCATATAAAAAGCACAGTATCTTATTAAAAAGAAGAAGAGAAGAAAACCGAGACAACTGTTTTCGTGAAATCGCTTATATATGCTGAAAAAGAAATGTTTCGTTTGAAGAAAATATCCGGTTACAGGAGACGCGTTCTTGAGTTGTCCTCGATCGAAGAGTAAGTAAGAGAATTCGAAGTTGAAGTAGAAAGAGGTGAAAAGGGAAAAAGAGAGAGATCAAGTAAACGGGGCCATAGTGCGTGGAACCCCCCTTCGAATACGCGGAAGTCGGCGAACGGCGCTTCGAAACGCCAAGCGGCATTAGGCGAATTTTATTATTCTCCGATTTCAAGGTTCGCTGCGCTGCAATGAAGGAGGATAGAAACGGCAAGTGCATTTTGCGGCAAACGAGCCACGCCGACATCTCGGTGTAATCAGACACTGGCGACGTGCTGCTGAAGCTGTAGAAAGAGAGAAAGAGAAGAGAAATGGGGAGGGTAGAGAAAGAAGGAGAAAGAGAGGGAAAGAGATAAATGTAATTGAAAACATCCGAGACGAGAGATCCGCCACGCTTCTGATCCCAGCCGCGCTCTCTCTCTCTCTCTCTCTCTCTCTCTTTTTCTCTCTCTTCTCATCCCTCTTCTACATTTCCCATCTCTTTCTCTACTCTTTATTTCTCTTTCTCTTCTTTTTTATTTTCCTCTTTTTTTTTCTTTTTTTTTTTTTATTATTTCTTTTTTACTTTCTGTTCGGCTCTTTCTTTCACTGCATTTAAACGCGCGCTCCCGCTTCTATCTCGCGATTAAAAATCGCTCTTCCGCCGACGTCCTACCCAACATCATACCTACTACATACGAATATATAATATATATATAGACGTATGCGTATTTCTCTTTCACTCTCTTTCCCTATATTTCTCTTATTTCTTTCCCGTCAGTCGTCAAGTAACATGTCACTCTGTATTCCAAATGTTCTTGCTTTTTGCTATTTTTTACAATTCTCTTTTATGCCTTCTATCCGACTAAGTATACTCGTATCATTGATTCTTTTTTACTAACCTCGCATAGGTTGTTTCTATGATCGATCGAAAAAAGTATGCAGGATTACGAGCGTTATATTACCTAGGTAGGTACGTACCATTTGAAATGACACTAGTATACGATTCCTACGTAAACAAGAATTACGGGATTTAAACAAAAACACACAATTCTAGATAAAGAAATCCTTTTACATAGTTTGCGAGAGTCTTCAATAGTTGATACCCGTTATCGTCGTGTTATTTTCCTCAAAAGTTCTTCTCCTAAATAAAAACTACCAATGTTAGATGGAAAACTCGAAAACACCATAGACATCAATCCCATGGTTCTTTTGAAAGAAAAAGAGAGACCGATTTCTCTTCTCGAAAAAGGGCATGTGGAAACGCATGGATAAGCAAAGAGCGCGATAATACGTTTTCAAGTAGCCTTCCTGGTTGACGTAAAGAAGGTGTAAATACTAGGAACACATAGGATAGGGCGGGGGTTTAGGGGATAGGGGGAAATTTTCCGCGTTGGATCGGCGCACATCGGCCAAAGGAAGCCGCCTCCACATCCTTCTTTTCTCTCTTGCCAATAATTTCAATGGAAACTTTTTCTCACAAAATTCTATCTCTCTCTCTCTCTCTTTTTACCCCCACTCCTTGCTTGCTTGCTTTCTTTCTTTCTTTCTTTCATTCTTTCTTCCTTTTACTTCGCTTCCATTTTCTCGGTACGTCTCCGTTCGTGTTCGAGAACGTATTTGTGTCTCGGTGCATGTGAAACGATAGAGCAAAAAAGGGGATCTCGAAATACGCTGACAGACTGAGAAAAAGAGATAGAGAAAAAGAAAGAAAGATAGAGAGAGAGTGAGAGAGAGAGAGAGAGAGAGAGAGAGATCCGCCTCTGATGAATACCGCAACCAGTGGCCACCGTGTTTTCCCTCCATTGGTCCATCCTAGCAACCTCTCCTCCCCTCGGAATCATCCCCCTGTGCTGCATCCTTCTGTTCGACTTTCCAACCCCTCTGTAAACCGCGAAACAAATTCTCTTTCTCTCTCTCTCTCTCTCTGTTCCTTTCTTTTCATATCCTACGTGTATAAAATAAGAATTATTTATATATACGTATGTAGTAATTTTTTTTCTTTTTCATAAATTTTTAAATACGTTTTTATTCGCGAATGAATTTCGTTGAATGAAAAGAAGAAGAAGAAGAATAAGAAGTATAAGATAGAAGATAAAAGAAAATCCACGCTAAAGCGAAATATATTCTATTATTCCTCGTATATATTTCTCTGTGTTTAAAAATGGAGGATGTAGTAAAAACTAGGTCTTATCGATGTTTCAACTAATGGATGAAGATTCTATTAAATTTCAAACTTCGTTCGTGTTTCTAACGCTTTTAAAAAAAAAAAAACTTAATGCGAGCGATGTGCGTTCACCGATCTCAGGAACCAACACAGGCGGCGGCATTGTACAAAAAGGTATCTTAGATGAGAAAGAAAAAAAGATGAGGAAGAAAATGAGAAAGAAAGGAAGAAAAAAGAAAAGGAAAAAGGAAAGAAAGAAGACTAAAAGCTGAGAGAGAGAGAGAGAGAGAGAGAAAGAGAGAGAGAGAGAGAGAGAGAGAGAAGAAGAAGGGAAGAAAAAAAAGAGCGACCGATAAACAAACTCCAGAGGATCGCGGCACTTTAATCTCCCTTTCGGAGGCATCAGCCGCCCTTTGCGGCACGGAATGAAAAAGGGGCCGTGTGGTGGTGGGGGTGTCCTCTCCCCACCAGGACTCATTATAGCAACATGCGGTAAGTATGCTCGTGCTTAAGTCTCGCGGTACCCTTCGGAACGCAGGGGTGCCTGTTGGAGGGTAAGCATTGGTTATATATGTATACATACGCAGCCTCTATAAAAAGTAGTTGGAAAAAAAAGAAGAGAGAGAGGGAGAGATAGAAAAAGAGAAAGAAAGAGAGTGGAACGCGGAACAGCAACGTTGAAAGCAAGCGGACAGTGATGGAACAAGGACGGTCGGAAGGAGCATCCCTTATTTCGTGGCTGCTTGTTGCACGGCTCGACGCATTCGAATGGTCTCACTCCTCTTTTCTGATCCGGGCGGTTCCAGGTGGTTGCTGACCCCTCCTCTCAAAAATTAGCTGTACCCCCTGATCTAGCGGCTCTTACACAGCTGCGACCAGGTCGATTCGATGCATCAATGCGTCTAAATATATGTACGTATTTAGGTATATATACCTATCTACTCTCTATCTTCTATCTATTTTCCTTTTTTTTTTTTCCTTCCTTCCTTTTTTTTCCTTTCCACACGACATTGTCTTCCTTCATCGAAGTCGCAAACGTCTAGACTCTACAGGAGACAAAGGGTAGTACTTTTTTTTTCTTCTTTTTTTTCCTTTCTTTTCCTACTACTACAATGTAGTGGCTTCTAACGTAATAAAAAGCTTTTGCACGATGTTCTATACATTTATGATCTCCTTTTATTATTATTCTTCTTCTTCTTTGGCTAAATATCTATACGTGGAAAAAAAATGTATAAATTTCTTTCCATTGGGATTGATTATTTTTTTCATGAAAATAATATATTCTTATATACGATAGAATGTGTAGAGAGAAACGTTGAGTTAGAGAAAATTTACGTATAAAGTATAAAAAATAAACTAGATTTCAATTCATTTTAAGTTGGTTTTCATTTCTTTCCATACATTTAATATTCGACTAATACCTATACAAAACACTTGTATCTTTATGCATATTTTAAATCTATATAAATTTAATGTCAGATATATTTCTACGATATACGATATAATACATGGGTAAATGAAAATAGAGAATAAAACGAAAAGTCTGCACTCTCACTCTCTCTCTCTCTTCTTGTACACTCACGTAATGATAAAGGTACGGTAAAGGTGAGAGAAGATAATCTCCGAAGGATGGAACGATGGCGATAGTGCAAGTAGCGACGGTAATGCCGAGGAGGATGGTGTCAGTTCTCGTGACGTTGGTGATGGTGGTGGTAATGCTAGCGGTGGTAGTGGTGGTGGTGATGGTGGTGGGACTTAGCCCTCCTCTCGATGGTACGAGGCAACCCTTGGTATAAGAGGCAACGATACCGCTCTCGCGTCCGTGAAAAGCCGCTGCGAATAACGTGCTTACACGCGATCATCCGACCGCGATCTTCAATGCCCGTAACAGATCAAGCTGCGGGCCCCGTGAATCGTACTTCTAAGCCCTGCGTGCTAAGA